GTGTGTGTGTGTGTGTGTGTGTGTGTGTGTGTGTGTTTGTGTGTATGTGTGTATGCGTGTGTGTTTGTGTATGCGTTGATTTGTGTGTTGGTTCAGGGGGAATAGGGGGGGGGTGGATTAGGGGAAGCAAATCAAGGTTGAAACTAACTTTGTTATGTACTTCACATAGAAAGTTAACCAAGTCGCAACGCCTCCTTACCTGTGTCTTGACAGAAGATCATAGAACACTCACAAACATTCTCAACTTCCTGGGAAGCATACAGTGCAAGCAGCTGATTCAGCACTCAAAGACTACCAAACTGACAAGATCGTTCACTGTCTATAGCTGGTTACCAATTCTCAACTAGGTAAAGTGAGGAAAATTTTCTCCCAAGGACACAACTCCGTGTCCCTGACAGGATTTGAACCCACGACCTTACGGTTGCTAGTATGAGAGCGTAACCACTTGGACAAAGTCTACCCCCACCCCCCACTATAAAAAGTCCCAGACACAAAGACTGCTCACCTGGACAGATGACGCCCGTGTCGCACGTGTCCGAGTCGGAGCCACTGCCCGGGCAGGACGCCCCACCGTGAGCCGCCGCTGGCCTGTCGCATGTGCGTGTGCGCTCCTTGGTACCAGTGGCACAGGTCACACTGCACGTGCCCCAGCCCGCCCAAGTGCCCCAAGCTCCGTCCACTGAAGAAGGCGAGGAAAAAAGAAGAAAAATGTTTGCTGATAATTTTTTTCTTCCGTTTTAGCATGATATGATGATAATAATATGAATATCAGAATGCACGGGATAAGTATCTGAACCCCTAGCACTTGCAAACACCATAAACATCAACAAAACAACAACAACAATAAAAACAGCAATAACAGCAACAATAACAACAACAAAAACAACAACAACAACGATAAGTAATTAAAGCCATTCCATAACCCAGTATTATCGATTCCACCACCATCACCACCAACACCCATCAATATCGGCAGTAACAACAGCAAAAACAGCAACAGCAACACCAGTATCAACAACATACGCAGCAACAATCAAACCAACAATGACTGCGACACCACCACTGTCCACCAAACACACAGTAAATCACCTGGGCACGGACTAAGTGTACATGACGTCGTCTCGTCCTGGTCCCCAACACAGTAGTTCCCACCATTCAGGGGGGCCGGGTCATCGCATGCCCTGGCCCGGGTGGTGCTGCCTGTTGCACACGTCACACTACAGGTCGCCCAGGCTCCCCAAGAACCCCAGTTACCGTCCACTGTAGGTAGAGGGACATGTCAGGATTTAATAACTTTTAGAGGGGTCAGAAAAATAAACACTTTAAGCCATCTTGAAGTCGTTCAAAAAAATTCATTTTGAAAAATTCATTTTGAAAAATCCATTTATTCATTTATTCATTTTTTCATCTATTTTCTCTCCTTAGAAAAATAATGCCCTTTTTAGTTGTGTTCTTTGGATGAAATAGTTCTGAGGCAAATTTCATTTATTTATTTATTTATTTATTTATTTATTTATTTATTTATTTATTTATTTATAATACGGTTAGGGGTAAACATTTGCTTTGTCTGTTTGTTTATTTGAGTAAAGAGAAGCACATCTACACAATAATGGCCATTTAGTGCTAGGAAAAGGCAAGACAGACAGACAGAAAAAACGGGAAGGGGGGGGGTGAAGAAGTAGGACCTACCAGTGGCACCACCCTCCAACCTCCTGCATCAACTCACCAACACAGAGGATGTGGCTCATGTCACAGTTGCCCGTCTCCTGACCAGAGCCGGCACAGTTGGCTCCGCCATGTTGCGCCACCGGCCGGTCACATGTCCGGCTCCTCTCCCGGTTCCCCACGGCGCCACAGCTGAGAGAGCACGTCCCCCACGCGTCCCACGTGCCCCAACCTCCATCGACTGGAAGAGTAAAGAAATTCATAAAATAAAATATTATGTGTGCGTTTCTGTTTATTGTTTATTAGTTAATATGCCACTGGAGAAAGCAAACGAATCATGCGAAGATTCAGAGAAACAGATGGGTGATGGGGAAATACCACTCAGGATAATGTAAGATTTTCATAGCATCCGAGTTGGAAAAATGAATGGAGTATCATGATGTGTGTCTCAGATCTGGCACTTTATGATGATTCACCTGGACATGGTGACAGGGTACAGGTCTGTGTCTGTCTGTGTCAGTGCCTGTGTCTGTGTCTGTTGTCTAACTCACCTGGACACGGTGAGAGGGAACAGGTCTGTGTCTGCTGGTCGTCCCCGGAACACGGCGCCCCGTTGTACGGCACCGGGCGGTCACAAGCCCTCGTCCTGGTCTGGCTACCGGAAGCACACGTCACACTGCAGGAGCTCCAGGAGCCCCAGGTGCCCCAACCGCCGTCAACTGGTTGGTGAGTTGGGGCGAAAAAAAAAATCGCAAAGTGATTGTAGATAGGCCTTACTGTAAAAGTTCCATTGATCGCTTTTTGTTGTAATTTATTTTCTTTTGTGAAAGGGGGGAGGGGACGACGGCGATTTTGTTGTTTGTTTTTGTTTTGGGGTTGCTGCTTCTTTTTGTTTGTTTGTTGTTTTTATTTTGTTGTCTTACGCCCCCATCGACACAATCTAGATCAGTAAAAAGGCTGGCTTCGACTAGTAGGAATAACCCGGGTTGAAAGGTATCCCAGGAGAAAGAACAAGATAGTCGTAAAAAAAAATTCTAAACGATTGATTATAAACATAGCCATAATTTACAGTATTCAAAAGCATGTGTATGTCACATTAATTTGATGTTATACAATATGATTACGTGCAGGGGTAGAAATGAATCAAAGTTTAAACAATCATAGTTTGACAGGTAAAGTCCGATCTGGGCGAAGATTTAGGCGTCTTTAAAAATTGTTTCCAAATCTTCCACCTCAATCAAAAGGGTTGGGGTTTGGGACGTTTTTTTCTTCGTTCTGCTAATTCCTAATCACATATTTTTGGCTTAGTGAACTAAAAGTATAATCAATATAAAATATAACGGTATCTATATGTTAGGAATACGTCTTCATCTTACGCATGGGCAGCTTCTACTGTTCCCCATTTCTTCCAAATATTTGGGGATGGAGAACAAAGAACATGATACCCATGTTATTATGATGTACTATAAAACACAAGATATAACACAGAATAAGAGGAAAAGAGGAGTGTCGTAACCGCCAATGGGTAATATTATGAGTGTTTATGCTTAGAATAATTTTTAAAAAAATAACATGACACGTGACCCTCACCTGAGCAAGGATTGTGTGTCATGTCACAGCTGCCTGTGTCCTGGTCAGAGCCGGGACAGTCTGCTCCTCCGTGCTGTTTTGTTGGACGGTCACATGACCTTGACCTTGTCTTGGTTCCCACGATGCCACAGGTCACAGAGCACGACCCCCAGCCGGACCAAGTGCCCCAGCCGCCGTCAACTGGAACAGGACGGAAACAAAGGCTCGGATGTGTGGCAACGAAAACAAAGTCACCACGTGGTTCAATCAGGCGCTCATCCGTTTTTTAGTGCGCCTGGGGTTCTTGGTATAGCCTTTAAGATAATTCATTACTCTTGACTTTGATGGGGGAAAAATACCCCTCTATCTTGAATAGAAGTCAAGATATTTTACGTTTGAATGAGATAGTGGTCTCCTAATTTCAGAGGTAAAAATAGCGAGAAAATGGCCGCGAAGGTATGTTGACCCATTTAGCCTGATAGTCTTAGGAAACTACAAACTTTCATATTTCAAAACCCTTTAAGGGGGAAAGGGGTTTACACCTGAATGCTATCTCGCTTATTACTCGATCAAATTTTACCAAATTTCACACATATGACAAGCATAGTAAGGAATCTTAAAATTCACTATCAAATTTGAGAAAAAAGTTTTGCTTCCATGGCTACGGCGGCCGAATTGGATTAATTGACATGTCTTACGTAATGAACACCACACTTATTTTTCATGGAAATAGGTTGTTGTTTAGCATGCATGTTAGTAAACATTAGATCTACAAATAAACCTTTTGAATTTTTCTTAAACAGATTAGAGATTTTTTTTAATGAATTTTTTCCTGAGCTAGTTTTCAAGTTTGCAAAAAACCCGTGAAAATCCATACTCAAGACACCGCCAACAAAAATTTATAGTATTTCATCTTCTCTTCATTCAGTGAAAATTTCATGAATATTGGATAAAAATGGTGGAGTTATTTTTTAAAAAAGTATACAGAAAAACTGCGTTTTGAGAAAACAGGCGATGAAAAATAAATAAATAAAAGACTGACTGATAAACAAGCCCGATATGAGAAGAAAGAAGGCTTTAAGGGGCTCTAACTCTATGAAATTGTTGAAAGAGAGGCTGAAGAAACTAAAAATGTCTACAACTCGAAATCCATAATTTTGAGCAGAATCAGGTCTTTTCGGGAATGTTCCCCCCC